GTTTCTACTACTAGTTTTAAGGCCCAGCCCAACTACTTGCAGGCCCAATCCAACATATATTTGCATGACCCAGGCAGCCCAGCCCGCCCTCCATTTTTTTCTAGATTCGCCACTGATTCAGCTGTGGTTGGATTAAGTAATCTGGTTTACTTATCTGAGTATCTTAGTTATCATGCTAGATTCGCCTTGAAAATTGTTACCCAATTTCATGCGACAAGATACATATCGTAGTGTTTATTTTACTTGTTTCAAAAATAAAAGGGCAGCCCCAGTGCATGTAGCTCCCGCTTGCGCAGGGTCTGGGGAAGGGTCCGACCACTTTGGGTCTATTGTACACAGCCTTTCCCTACATTTCTGTAAGAGGCTGTTTCCAGGACTTGAACCCGTGACCTCATGGTCACAAGGCAGCAGCTTTACCACTGCGCCAAGGCTCCCCTTCTTACTTGCTTCAAAAATAGTAATTCTAAATCGTTTTGTGGCTTATTTCATCTTTGATCTACCTTTTTTGAATGCTTCTTGAAGGAAAGAGATGTAAAAGGGAGAACTTTTAGACATTGCACCGTAGTCATCCTTAGAGTCTTACTATCAAATTGTGTTTATAATTCGACTTGTAGATAAATGTGCATGCTTTCGAACTATATATAAAAGGTGATTTTCTGTGTAGCATCCATTTTAAGTTATGGAACCACTGAAATTGAGTTGAAGCTTCTTTAGAGTATATATTATTTACTATTGAGCTGACTCGTAGTTTATATCTTGGAAATCAGAAGTAGATAACGAAAATTATCATGATAGTAATTTAATCAGGAAGTATTTGCTAATATGTCGCATACATGTTCGAAGAAATTATCTTCATTTTGAGTGTGAATGATTGCTCTGATGTGTTGTCGCTGTGCTATATAGCTAGTTCGGGAAATGTTTAACAATTCTAGAGATAAACAATTGTTGTTTCAAAAGCCACCATGATATTGATGCCGGAATCGCAGGGTCTAGCAAATCTCACATCGATTGATGGGCATTGTCTTGAAAAAACTGTTTGTTTTGCAATCTTATTCATAACTACTATAACTTGTGAATCTTATATAGTTAATGGTATTCCTCAAATTTTCCCTTATTGAGTTCATTCTCTTTATAGAACATTCTTGAGCATGTGTATATGACTAACCAGACAATACTGTTCTCTCACCTTTAAATGATACACCCTCCGTATCAAAATATAAGTCGTTTTTTGACACTGTTATAGTGTCAAAAAACGTCTTATATTTTGATAGAGGGAGTACTTAATTAAAATGATATCTTGTCGTCACTCTCTCTGGTGCTTTTTCCAATACCGGATACTCTATTACATAATCTATGTGTTGTTCAAAATATGCCTTATAAAAATGGCATACATTTAGAGAGGTGTATAATTGTACATATAGAAAGAGAATATATGCGTGTTCAACTATTGTAACTAACCTTACATAAGCCATCCAACATGGGAAATGCATGTCGTTGCACTCATGTTCTCTTCCATTGTGTTTATGAATAAATATTTTTGTTTTCTGTACAGTATTTTCTTATTTTTAAACAAAGGCAGAAGTTTGCTATATATTTTTTTTGAACAAAGACGCAAGGATGTTTGCTATATTTCACTGATTAAGGAGAAGAAAAATAAAGTTATGTACAAACAAGGCTGTAGCAGAAGCGCTGGGCTACTCTCCCAGCCTTCTATGAATTGGGCATAGTACGCAGAGGATGCGTAGCAGGAGTTTTCCGTAAGCTTCCGAATGTCCTCACCTTTGTAGCTCAACAGGGAGAAAGTCTCTCCCAAAGGGTGAAGAACTCATAGATGTGGAATATTCACCTAATTCAAGTTTAGGGAATATTAGTTCAAATGGATAGATAAGAGGCAATAACTGTGAGAAACTAGATATCTATTATGTTAAGGAAGATAGGGTTGTCCTACTATACTTGCAAGACTGTAAGTAAACAACTTGCAATACTAGACGATACGCTACGTGTTTGCCGCGGAATTGGATATATAGTTTCCAAATATCGTGTAGAATACTAATTTGGTTCTTACGTTTTAAACTACTTGAGAAAATTTTGCATAAGAAAAAAGAAAATTTTAACATGAAAAGTTGTGCACGTCACAATTAAATGCAATGTGATTTAAAATTCACTTAGAAATGCACTAATGCATGTTTGTGGTAGAGGATTGTCATGCATAGGTCATATGGATGCTAGTGGATCAAGCTGGTAAATCTAACAGCTACAACAATTTTGATGATGTGGGATTTGAGCATGCATGATGAGATAATTAGAAAAAGTGAGGATCACTCTCTTAGGTATATACTCACTCCGTCCCAAACTAAGTGTATATCTTAACCTTAGTATAACTTTGTACTAACTTTAGTACGAAGTTGAGACACTTATTTTGGGATGGAGGAAGTGTATGATTAGGGATATTCATTCCTGTGTTGGAACGGACAATGCCAAAAACCAGGCAGATATGCCCTAGTTCGAATTTCCTCTTTGCCAGTGATGAGACTAGCTTTCATAGGTTGGTGAAAACCGTATTTGAACACCCTGTTAGTTGTAAACACATGAATGCATAAGATAATAAAAAAGATACACAAAGCTCATTTCGTTTGTAGTGAAATGTTATTAATGAATATCCATTTCTAAGCCCAGGCTCATCTACATCCAGTGAAGAGAAAATTCACACACAAAAAATGTAACAAGCTAAGTCACATGCGGAATGAAAGGGAAAACAAAGAAATCTTGCACCGGGGCAGCTTTACATCAGTAAATGAAGTTCTTATAATGAACCTTATTACATGTAAGTTTACCATACACTCAGTGGCAAGATGGCTCCTTGGAACCCCTATTGCAGCTAATTATGTCAATGTACTATCTCTAAAGCATTCCGGCCCATAGAAGAAATCTGATATAGTTCGCAGCAAATAGCAAATAGTTTTAGCTACTTTTGTTTGAATTTTATACTCATATCTCCCTATGATTCTATTCAAGTATACTGTGTGTACAAGTTTTTTGAAGACGAACTAGCTAGTAATATGTACATCATGCATCCACTCTCCAGCCATTTTCATGATATATGGTATTGGTCGTAACTACTCCCTCCGTTCCTAAATATTTGTCTTTTTAGAAATTTCAAATGGTGGCTATGACATACGGATATATATGGACATATTTTAGAGTATAGATTCACTCATTTTGCTCCGTATGTAGTCACCTGTTGAAATCTCTAGAAAGACAAATATTTAGGAACGAAGGGAGTATAACTATGGTTAGAATAATTCCTCTATTTTTATTTAATTTTGGATTTATGTCAACTCGTGTATGTGCATGGCTTCATATAAGCCATTAAAATCAACTCCTTGTCAGTTTTGTTCAATAATGCTTATGTATTTGAAAACCACCAACTCTGGGAGGCAACTGGTGTAACTTATCAGGAGAATTACAAACATATGTGTTATTGGTATTTCAGTCAAGCCACAGACAGCCCTCTTTCTTTGATTGGGTCGATCCTTAATAGCCTCTGTGGAAACAGGACCTGGTGTGAACTGTTAAGCCATTGTCGACATGTTCAAAAAAAAAGAATCAAATCATCATGTTCCAATGCTGGCGGAAAGAAGGACATGACAGTACGATTGCCTCACCTGCCACACTCGATGAGGCATCACGCCTAGTGTCGTAGCCTTGCTGCATGCTGCAGGTTTGTCCTGCCTCTAGGCGTGCGCTGTCGATCCCACCATGCATGCATATGGTGCCGCCGTGTCGTGCATGTATGCACTGCACCTGTGTTCATGATAGTCTTGGCTGGGAAATACACTCGGCAGGAAGAGAGTATACACGTGCCGTGAATTGGCATAGGAGTATATGTTGAACGTGCTGGGATTATTTCTTGTTTAAACGTGCTGAGGTTTGATTTTATGCGTCAGCAGGAAGAGTCCTTCACACATGGTCTGTATGGAGGTATAATAACAGTATGCAAAACTATCGAATTCCAAAATGTTATAATCTTGATGTAACTTTGAAATGATTCTGCGTATTTTGTGATAGTTTTTTCTTTGTACAGTTGGAATTGTTGGGTACTGGAATTTTTCTTGGGTCTTCCTCGACCCATACGGATTCAACTCCTATCAAAAAGGTAGCATGATAGCAAAACTCCTCCAATGAAGTGCTAGTCAACTTCCAAATGCAAAACATATTATGTAACGATATTGTAATAAACTGTCCATGCAGTTTGAAGGCACATGGCTCAGTTAACGATGCAACCATTGTATCACTGGCGATAGTTGGTTCTTCATCAGATAAGAAGCACTTGGTTCACTGAATGGTTAATCTCTGTGTTGAATGAAACTGATTCGACAGGTATGCATACACGAGATCAAAAAGGGAGTTAGAGGAGGCATACACAAGATCACCACGAACAACAAGCAGAAGCTGGCCAAAACAGCATGGCTCAACGAATGAGAGTTCAAAGAGGGCTGCCAAGTGCCAACTTGATCGGTTTGTTGTACCCGCTGAGTCAGACAAGATGAACAACTAGATGCTGGGGGAGAACATCGACCAGGGAAAATATTTCGCATGCATCACTGAAGTTGCTCTGTAGCGGTGTACAGTTCCAGGCAACAGTGCAGGTCAACACGGCGCTGCTACACAAACTCGGCAGCTTGATACATACAGTACAAGAAGCCTATTAAAGCCAGCAGCATATCACTTAATCAAATGAATTACAATTCCCATGACGGCGAACTGCATTGTTACTTTGTGCGGAAGCCTATCAAAGTTTCGACATAAACACGGGCGCCGCTGAATTCTGAGGCCGCGAACCCCCTCTACTAGCAGGCACCTGCAACAAAAATTGACGACACAGTGAGGACCTCTATGTGTGCTATACATCTTCAGAAAGGGCGCATCAGGAATGCGTGTTTGATCAAATTGGTAGCAGGTGATACGAGTATCAATGCTATCATGCATGTGGCTGTTCTATTTTGATCCTCCTTTCTGAAGAAACCTTTTTTTTTCGAACTCCTCTCGAAGTAACTAAAAAAAAAATGAAACTCCATGGGCACTAGCACCCACGGTTTTATTGATATAGAAGAAGCATCCCTCATGAGAATTCCAGAAATTCGTCCCCGACGTGGATCGAACTCTGGTCGTTAGGTTTACAATCATGCGCCCCCAACCACTGGGCTATGCCCACATCCTCTCCTCTCGAAGTAACTTGAGATGTTCGAAATGCAAGGTCTCATACGTACACGATCGCCCTGTATGTTGAGATGGTTTTATATGGTGCTATGGTTTGTACGTACCTTGGTGCCAGAAGCCTTCTGAATGAATCCCTTCTCTTGCAGGGATTTCACCGCTTCACAGAGGTATTCTTGCACAGGGGTGAACTTCATGCCAAGGTCCTTGAGAGGCTGGTTGGTGTACTTGTAACCCTTCTTTGGCGGATTTACCTCGTCCTTGCATCTGTGCAGGTTAGTGAAGGATTAGACTGTCACTGTCAAAAGATGCCCAGCTAATTAAGTCATTGTTTAGTGTGTTGAGAAGCTTCAAAAGTTGAGGATGAAATCTCAACAGAGTCCACTTTGTCTTTAAGGCGAAGCAAAGCCATCGCTTTCGTTTTACGAAAGTTACAGGCAACTAGCAACAACTTGTGCTCTATCAAGTGAACAATTGCAAGCAAGATTGTGTAAAAACATTAGCACATTCGTGAAAAAGATTCCATCAACGGAACAATTGCAAGCAAAGACTGTGTAAAAACATTAGCACATTCGTGGAAAGATTCTATCAAGGGAACAATTGCAAGCAAAGATTGTGTAAAAACATTAGCACATTCGTGGAAGATTCTATCAACGGAGCAACTGCAAGCAAGATCGTGGAAAGATCTATTCTTAATTCAGTACTACGAATCAGGAATAGTACTCTACTTGCTATTTTAATTTGGAAGAATTATCTATTGTATCTGGTTGCTTATTTGCGTCTCTAACTGTCGGCTGAACAGGGAGTACGAAGTTTGGATCATTCATTCGTTTGAATAATGCAGGACGGCATTGTACCTTGTGGGAATCGGGTGGTCCGGGAAGAGCCCGGCGAGGATCCGGCAGAGCTCGCCGCGGTGCAGCGTCCTCTCGGCGCAGACGTAGCGCCGTCCGCCGGCATTGGGCGCCTCGAGCACCCTGACGTGCGCCTCGGCGGCGTCCTTGACATGCACGTAGGCCTGCGACTCGTTGACGTAGGCCTTGGCCTCGCCGGTGAGGTACTTGAGTATGTGCCTGGTGCTGGTGTTCATGGTCGGCTGCAGCAGCTCGCCGAGCGTCACCACCGGGATCACCACCGCCAGGTCCAGCCCCAGCGCCCGCGCCGCCTCCCACGCGCCCCGCTCCGCGATCGTCTTGGCGTAGCAGTACCAGTTCTGCCGTCATTCGGGGCGTCAATGGCGGTTCGCAGGCAAGATCGGGTGGATAGATCAAGTTGGATCGGTGTCTGACCTTGGTCTGTTTGCAGTAGTCGAGGTCGCTCCAGCACGACTCGTCGAGCGGCGCGTCCGGGTCGCGATGGGGGTTCATGTACATGGTGCCGATGCTGGAGGACAGCACCACGCGCCGGACGCCGGCGTCCGCGGCCATCTCCACCACGTTGAGCGTCCCGGTGATCACCGGCTCGATGATCTCCTCCTGCCGAACGACGCAACCTCCGTCAGCTTCATCCCGGCGGAAATAGAGGAGGATATACTACCGAGCGGCCGCTACTTACGGGGGTGTCGTGCATCGGCGACGCAGTGTGGATGACGCCGTCGCAGCCGTCGAAGGCGGCGCGGAGGCTGGCCCGGTCGAGCAGGTCGACCTGCACCATCGTGAGCCGCTCCGCGGCGCCGTCGAGCGCCCACAGGTGCGCGTTCTTGGGGTCATCTGCGCAACCAAGAGCTCGTCAGCCCAATCCATTCACTTGGCAGACCCGGCGCGCCCAAGAATCCCGGGCGGCAAAGGGACGCAGCGAGAGAGGGAGAGATGGGGAGAGGAACCGTACCGGCGCGGCGGGAGGTGCCGCGGACGGCGTAGCCGCGGGCGAGGAGCATCTTGACGATCCAGGAGCCGATGAAGCCGCCGGCGCCGGTGACGCAGACGACGGCGGCCATGGCCACGCCTGAGGCAACAGATCAGTTAACGCTGAAAAGGCGGGGGGAGGAAGAAACCAAATCTTTGGCGGAGGGCGAGCTGGGGCACGATTATCAGCCGGGGCCGCTGGTCGGTCTCTTATCACTCGGCAGAGAGACCCCGCTGGAACGGCCGAGAAACCGAGCGGCAATTACCGTGAAAACAACCGCGGCCCGGTGGTCCTGTGAGAACCGCGACGCGCGGACCGGGACGGGGAGACCGGGACGGCGACTGAGACCAGCGCGGCCGTGTGAACCTCTTCCCGAGCAGCGTGTGGAGTGCACTCCAAGCGCGGTGGGGGAAATAGTAGTAAAGAAAACGACCTGGGCTGACCTCGTGACTGGGAACGTGTTCCTTTCCTCCACCCAGTTTTGCTTTTGTTAAATCAATCATGCCTCATGCGTTGCGTTTACAGGGCGCTTCCGGTGTCGACTAGTGCCGGCGACGGCGAGCATCTGGACGCTTCCGGTGTCGATTAGTGCCGGTGACGGTGAGCATCTACGGGCTTTAGGTGCGCAACATTGGGACTCGTCGCCATGTCTTTTTCTGTGCCTCCATGGTGCCAGTGGGCTGCTGCTGCTGCAGTTGCAAGGATCATGTGTGTCCCAAAGTGCTTCGCTTCGCTCAACACGTGAATGTTGGAGCTGGGATGGGGACGGTGGCGGTTGTCCGGGAGCGACTGGGTAGGTGGGTGGGTGCAAAGGGACGGACGGCGAGCTTTCCCACATGTGCCGCAACGAAAAGAAAATTAGTGGCGAAGTAGGCTACACGTACGCCGGATACCGTTTGGCCTGCGCGCCGGATGCCTCTCGCTAGCCTCCACGTACGTACGTACGACGCGCCGGGCCGCGCGGGAAGCAGGATCGGTCTACCAAGAAGATGCGAAAGCATGACAGCGATAGCGCCGATGTTTCGCTTCGGAGAACAGCCGTGCGCCAGCCGCCAGCACCTCGCCGCACCACCGCCGGAGCTCCCACGGCAAGAACAAGAACATCCTTGTCGTGACGAAGATGGAGACGAGGGGCGAGTTACCCTGTAGCTGGCCGCCGCCTCCGCAACGACGACCACACCTGGAGAACGGGCGCCCACCGTATCGACGGACCCGGGAGCAGTTAACGCCGGAAGCTCATCGGCACCGCCGCACGTGACGTCGCCGAAATGGGGGAAGAAGCTCCGGCCAACTTATTCCACCGCGCTGCTGCTGTAAAAGAAACCTACCCTACTATCTACACGCCTAGGTCTCAGATCCGGGGTCCCTTCGCTCTCCTGCCGCTGAACCAGCGGCCTGAGAGGGAAGAGATCGCCGTTCTGTCAGTCGGTGAAGCGAAGAACGACTCTTGCTTTTTCGCCTCTCCTGATGAGCGGTTACGATAAGCAGGGCCGGCCCTGGGCCATGGCGAGAGGTGCGACGGCCTAGGGGCCAGCCTCAGCAGGGGCCCATATATCTCTAAAAAAATAGACTAGTACACAAGAGAAGCAGGCATGGCCCATTACGTCACGCACGAACAGCAATTCCTCGCTGGCTCCTTGAATTACGCCCTCGTTCGTCTCCGTTCTCCGTCTTCTTTCCCAATTAAAATTACCCCAAGTTTCTAAGAGGCCAGGCCCCAATTCCCAAAGCTAATAAATGATTTTCTTTGGTTCCTCGCATCCTATGAACTGCCCCAAAGGACCCCGACGGACGGAAGCCAACCGGCGACACATCCTGGCCCTGGGCCCCTGGGAAGAACGCGAGAGCAGCAACCTGCACCACGGCCGTCCATCGATAGAGCCGTGGTCAGTGTCCGAGGGCAGGCGATGCAGACATGAAATCCAGGCACTGTTTAAGCGAAGCAATCAAGCCATTGCTCCTCCAGGTAATTTTTAGACCTTAATTCTTTGATCTTTGTCTATTTATTTCTGTTATGATGAGTTGACGTAATAATCAAAATTCATGATAAGCCATTGCTGATGTTTAACCTACTTAATTGCTCTATTTTTGTTCAAATTGCAGTCATGTAAATTCTGCAGGTTGTGTCCTTGCATGAATTTTGATTATTGGATGGGTGGAGCATAGAATTTCTTCTAATTTACTCCAAAACCAAGATTTTTGAATTCAGGTGCTCTATCCTCGTCGACCTGTTGGCTGGGCAGCTGAGGTTGCTGCCAGCCCACCCGACGCGCGGTACTCGTGGAGTTTCTTCTATTAAAAAATGCCAACGAGGGTTAGTCCTTGGGTTGGTCTCATTTTTTTTATAATGTTCCAACAAAGCAATTATCATCTGATTGTGATAAAAGTAAAGGATCTAACTACTACCTCCGTTTCAGTTTACAAGTCCTGTATGTATATCTAGGTTTCCAATTTTATCACCATAATAGTTTAAACTATATAACACAAAAATTATACCGTTTGAAACTAGGAACATCTGAAATTTATAATGGTATGTTTTTTTGTAATATATGACTTCCTTTAGGTTGGTCAAATTGACGATCTAGAGATACGTGCACGCCTTGTAAACTGAGAGAGAGGGAGTAGTAAATCAATTAGTTGAATTTGAAAACGGTGCTAAGTCCTTCACTGGAAGAAAATTTGAGTACGTATATTATAAGGGCCCATTATATAAAACTCGCGCAAGGGCCTCTAAGATGCCAGGGCCGGCCCTGACGATAAGCAATGACAAACTGGCATGTTCATAACCGGGCGTCTCTATCCGGGTGCTTGGCTCCTCTCGCGATAAAACTACAGTTGTTGATGGCTATCTGTGGGAGCCGTTGGTCTATAAAAGAAAAGGCTAAACGAATCGGTACTCGATGATAGTCCTTTTTTTTCTTTTCTGACTTGGATGATGGTTCTTATATAGTTTTATATATAGACTAGCAAAAAGGCCTGTGCGTTGCAACGGGAGAAAGAAAATCTACTCATATCTCTAGCTGGGTCAGTTGGACAAACTGTGTGTGCCCCGTTGACAGGTTATGAGATCGAACCCTCCCATCGGCAATTTTATTTTTCTCCGGATCAACCAAATCCCGTACGTGAAATTAAGTAAATCGGGACCAAACGAAGCGGGACGAAACTAAGAATATCACGTCACTTTAATAGTAGGTATAGATATAGATATAGATATAGAAATTGCCCGTGCGTTGCAACGGGATAAACAACCTCTCGCACATCTCCAGTGGGCCATCTGTGTTGCCACTTTTTATCTTTGTATATGTGTGTATCATGTCGAAGGTGGTGACGTGTATATCTATTTTACGATAAACATGACCGTTCTCAAGGTAGTGAGATTGGTCACTATATTCTAGCATGCCATGTTGTAGCTACCATGATCAAATTTAAGAAGGCGGGAAATCGAGAAAAAAAAACTTTAGACCCACGTTGCACATGCTTGTAATTCATGTACTCCTTACTTTGTCAAAAAATTAATACAGACATGAGCCAAAAATCAAACCTTTATTGCAAGAGGTTCACCGTGCACATTCATAACAGCGAATAATTTCTTTCCTTCTGAACATTTTCTTCTTTTGATTTTAGTTCCTTTTCTTCCTGGGCTAGGACATCGGAACTTTTTATTTCCTTCAAGGGGAAATTTATTCCATATTTTAATTCCTTTCCTTCTTGGGCAGATTTCCCCCCTTTCTTGCGCTCAGATAAGAGCAGAATTCACTCCTTTCCTTCAATCCTTCTTAACTCATTTCCTTCTTGGGCTCAAGAATTTACTCCTTTTTTTATTTTTATTTTCTAGGAGCAAACCGGATCCAACACCTCGGACTTTTGTTGATTCTTAAGATGCTTATTAACTTGAAATCATAGGCATATGTAACGTGGCCGGATGAAGTATAAATAAGCGATATGGGACTACTGAATAACTAAACGAATGGTCTCCGTGAGGTAGCTTCGCTTGTTCCTAGAGACGCACTCGCATGCCTTCCCATGGGAGAAATTTTGTGTGGCCCAGTACGTATATGTGCTTTTGCGTGCTCCACCTCACGACCGAGCAAGGGCTCAAAGCTTCAAACCTCCAGATATACAAAAACACCGAGAAAGGGGTCAAAAAAGAAAAAATCTCCCGAGCAAGCAAGGGCTCGATCCCAAGCCAGCTGTGCCTGCGCGCCTGCTGGTCGTGCCGCCGGGGTAAAAAAAATACTCAGGAGCAAGCAAGGGCTCGATCCAGAGCCACCTACTTACACCCGCGCGCCTGCAGGCCGAGCCGCCGCCGGCAGGACCTCCGCCGCGCCTCCTCCCTCCTTGTCCGTTCTCCCTCACTTCACCTCTCTCCGTTCTCGTTGCCGGAGCAGCCATGGCGCCGAGCGGCTGCAAGAGCGAACACTGATGCGCCGGCTCCGCCCGTGCAAACAGGGCCGGTCTTGAGATTTCGGGGGCCCGGGGCGAAACTAAAACCAGGGGCCCCTTAATATAAACCTCTCTTGGCACATTTATACATCTCAAATAGTTATTTGCTAATATATGTAGTTATCTAAAGTATGCACATGCTTTTCTCAAAAGAAAAATGCACATGCTTCTTATAGTAGGACAAATACAATCACATAAGGCAGCAATGCATACCTCAGCCATCGTCAACACATCCAATGCCACCTTATACATGTTCTTCTTGATAAGATTTTTTTTATTTCTGACGAACATCGGAGCCATCTTCTAAGGCCTATAGATAATGATGATAGTGAGTCAAATTTCAGTAACTATATGAGAAAACCATTGAACGGAAAATTAAATAGATTCAATAATATTACTTGATATCATCTGCAGATCCATAAACATCATTTTGGGTCCACTTTAATACTCGGGATCTAAATTGAAATTTTCTGTAGGGAAGGAACTATTTGAATGCCTTTGAGATAATGCTTTCACTGTATCAGTACAAAACCACAAAATTGATCATCGAGTTAAAGATGAGTTCTTAAAGAATTCTATGCAACTTAGTGGTTAATCCCTCTTGCCCCACACGTTTAACTTTTGTGATCGATCAACAACCTCATTCTCCTATATTTTTTAATGCAAGGCTAAGTACATTTGTTTTCCGTCAGGGGCAACGAAGGGTATAAATCTTAAAATCCATACAACACTAGAAGATTCGATGTAAAAGAAGTGAAAGGATCCTTACCTGGCGTGCTCCTCGTCCGTCTAATCTTGTGGCACTAGCGGCGGCGGCGATTGGGGACTGGCGTGGGCGTTGAAGACGGAAAGAAACGAGACGTGGGCGTTGAAGGCGGCGATTTCACATGTAGTGAAAGAGATTCATATGGGCTCCGGACTAAGGTATGCACTGGCCACACGGTACCTGGGAGGGCTTCGGCCACTATCGTCAGGTTGCCCGTGCGCAAGGCCAGGCCCAGTGTCTAATGCGTTGCTTCAGGGGCCGCTGCGATCGCAAACAAAATTAAGAAGACGTACG